TCAGCAACCGCTTTCATGTCTAAGACCGACTTTTYCCCCTCTTGTGATGTTGCCCGGGTTATCAGATCCCCTTAATAATCCTCCTTTAGGAAAAGGAGGCAACGCGTCACGCAAGAGGAGGCCGGYGGCGGCGCTCTCGGCGCGCGCCCATGTGTGCGTCGGTGCAGATGCGCGGGTGGGCGCGCGCCGGACGAAACCCGCCTGCCGAGCTCCTTCTGGAAGGATAATATTACAAAGCAGAGTCGTTCTGGCAGAGCTTCTAGGGCTTCTGACACAGTGGCCTTTTCTGGACAGCGAGGAAAGCTACTGATCAGCGCTGGGCCGTCCTCTTGGCGCAGATTGATGCTGAGGAGGAAGCTGGGCCTGACTGGAATTTGGGTTGGATTCAAAGGAAAAGTTAAAAGTTTGGGGGGAGCAGATGCTCAGCTGGTGCAAATCAGCGGAGCGGGGCTGAGCGCGTGCAGCGGCACAGCGCGATGTTACTGGAGATGGGCCTTGGTCGGGACCCCCGCGCGCCACCACGGCTCGGGTCTGACCTCAGGACAAGAGACCTTCTCCTTCGGCTCCTCCGCGCCGGCTCCAGCGTTGCTGAGAAACCCCGAACGCATCCGAACAATTCCAGCTCCCAAGCGAACGGATTGGGTCAATTTGGTCAATTATTTTGATGATTACATTGACACTGCTGCTTCAAGCAGATCGATTTTCTGAATGCAGATCTAATGTTAAGACACACTCAAAGCTTGGAGGGTAGGTTTAAACTGAAGTCTCTACCTGAGCTGAGTATGACCTGGAGAACAGCAGGCCAACCACGGGGACTTGCTCCTTGCAGGCCTGCTTGAGGCTCTTGATACACTCTGTCTTATTTATATGGCTCCAAATTCTTATGTTAGACATAAACATCAAAAAGCCTTGATAAAAGTGACATCTGAAGCTCAATTTGGCATGTTGTTAATGGGTTGTTCAGTGCAATAGTTTGCATCTTCCCTCACGAAACCAGAGGACAGCTACTGACAGTAAGCTGAACTTTTAAAGAGTTGGTGTTTAAAACTTATTTAAGTCATGATCCTAATATATTTTGCATTTTTAGTTTCCCTATTAAAACCACTGACAAATGTGTGAATCAGCTGCACACCATGGAAAAGCGTGGAGCAGAGGACAGCGCTTGCGTGGAGCACAGCAAACCCAAGCACACCAAGGCAGTCCTGAACCCCAGCGCACATAAAAAGCAAGTTAAATCAGCTCAAGCTGTTCAGATGCAGCTCTGTGCTTGGGCATCTGGCAGCAGAGTGAACGTAACTACCTGCTCTTCACACTGCACTTTTTGTGTAGGCTTCTCCCGCACGTTTTGATGGGTGAGCAGTCACACTTCCAAGCGGTAAGCCAACCAAGTGTTGGTGGAATACTGTCAAATATAATCTGGAGGTTTTTTTTTCTAAAGCATGCTGATAAAAGCAGCTCTCAGAGCAGGCCAACAAGTGTGCTCAGAGCTCGGCTCCGAGGTTTTAGGCTACTAGGTTAATTTTTCGCCCCTTTGCCTTCCCCAGGATGGTCCACTTYTGAGGAACACAAGAGTCCGTGCTTTGGGCAGATATGAGAAAGTCACAGAGTAAAGAAATAACAAATAAATACCAGAAAAAAAAAAAAAAAGATGAATTTTAGCTGTGGGGGTATTCTTGGAAAATGAGATAAAAAGTCTCTCACAAAAAAAAGCATCCAATAATTTGCTTCCTGGAAACAGCCGTTTTCCCAGGGTGAAGCTTAGCTGCCATCAGCCAGAGCCCGACACCACAAAATTCTCTGTTTTTTCACAACAGCAAATGGTTGTAACTACCTATTTCTGTCAGCACGGAAAACTAATTCCTTCCTCACTGGCATACAGGGCAGAGCACATTCAGACCACAAGGAATCTCTTGATGGGAATTGTCTTGGAGAAACCTCCAGGAAGCAGAAGCAGAAGCGAAGCAAAGCCCAGGAAAATGCAGCCAATCTGCTTCTACCTTTTTGCCTGTATTTTTTACCACACCATCTTTTTTTGTTCTTCATGAAACATGAAGCACACAGCAGAATCCTTAGGGAAGGATGGAGGTTTTTGGAGGCTTCCTCCTAAAACCACTTAGGTGGGATTCTGCAACAGCCTGAACCAGGTCTCCCTTTTGCTGGGACAGTAGCATAGATGTTTTTTCCACTTGCAAAATCCCTCCACGTGATTCCTAATTTTTCATACTATTAACTTTCCGCCAACATATTGTGCATGCAATATTTAGCAATAACAAACAGTAAGATAAAAACCGCTGCAGCTTGAGAAGCAAGCTCAGGATATGATTCCTCCTCACCGGATGCCTGGAAGATGTCACTGAAATTCTCTCTCTCTCAGTGCAACCCGCGTGGAGCCAATATGAACTCCCAGCAAAGTGCTTAAAAACCCATTATTTATAATAACTGTTAAATGATGAGACATTGTTTACCCAGATCGCAAGATAAATTCTCACTTACAGAATGCTTGCCTGACTGTCCTGAACGTCATCTGGTTTTTATTTAAATGCAAAATGTAATTAGGCTCCCAATAACACAGCAGAAGAATTCAATAAGATGGGGCTTTTCACTTACAGTTTAATATTAACATTTTCCCATAAATGTTAATGAATCAAAGTCTCCTGTTTTATGTATTAGCCATGGTGGGGAGACAGCAGACTAGGCAAGGAGGGAAAGATGATATTTTCATACCACAAATCAGAATATGTACTGCAAGGAAAGCCACCTGCACCAAGCACCCCTAAGACCTGCTTTTTTTTTTCTCCTCCTTTTTCTCTCCTTTTTGTTGCCTTTTTCCTCTCGCCCATCCTGCTTTCTGCCTGCCCCTCTCCACTAGCCGTGCTCCACGCACCAGAGAGCCGACAGCAGAGCTGTTAAACAGGGATGTGGGCCCGCAGCCCTGATGCTCTCAGGCTCCAGCTTGGATATCAGGGCTCGATTATCAGAAAAAAAAAACAGGTTACTGTTAGTCTGAGATCCTGCTTGAGAAATGAATGGYGGTGATCGGAGATGCTGGCTTCATTGCAGATGAAACCCAGAAACCCATGTGGCACCCGAGCAGATGGAGGGTGGCTCTGGGTAGGTGGCTTTGATGGCACTTTAGCAGGAGATCAGGGTGCTCCTGCATTCCACAGTGCTTCCCATCACGGGGAGCAGAGCCGGATGGAGGAGGCCACACGGCCGGGCCAAAGCTTGGCTCACGCAGCGACGCTTTAATTGTTTTAGCTCTTGAATTCCCATTTATTGATGAGAGTTCTGCTGTGTTAATGCGTATTTTGTTGTTTGGTGACTCACCCTTCACTGTATCTCTCTAATAAGAAGTGTTCATTTAACAGTTTGGCTACTTAACAATTTATTGCATAAATGGGTTTCCATCCTGCAGCCTTCTCCCCTAATGAGGGCCATGCATACTTTATGAGAGCTCTGCTCTGCAGTAACTTGGGCTCTTTTCCACTCGTGTCCGGGGAACAGAAGACGCCCGTGACATCAGAGTGATGCCAGTGCTCTGCTGGGCCACGACAGGGAGGCTGCAAAGCCCCCAGATAAGAGACCTCCAAACCAAGCCACACAAACAGAAAATTGCTTCRGTGAACTGTTAAAAACCAACAGCTTTTGTGGGTACCTAAACACATGCCTTGAATAGCAAGAGTCACTTCATGGACTTGATACTGCACACCAAGGAGCTGTAAAGATGCTCAGCCCTTTGCAGAATCCGGCCAAAATGAATACCTACCATGGCTCTCTTCTTGTTCCCACTGAAATCAATAGCAAAAGCACCAGCGATGCAAAAAGCTTAATGCTTTATAGGGTACTCAGTGAAACAATCAAACGTGAGCAAAGCCCAGCCCGACAGAAAGGAGCTTTGCATCTTCCTGGGAAGTGCTGCAGGATTGCAGCAGCAGGATTAATTTGCTTAATCATTAGGGATAAAACAAAACAAAACAAAACAAAAATAATAAAACCCCCCACAAAAACACAAGCAAAATCCAACACAATAACAAATCTCTAAGGGGAAAGGGAATTGTTTCTCCGTTAACTACATTGAGACAAAGCACTGGGAAGAAAAATGTCCAGTTCCAATAATGTCATAACCTGATTACAGCCTGCACAGAGGAACTAAAACACTTGCAGAACAATGAGCAAGAAATTAAGTTTCAAATTGAGTGCTGGCCCTATCTTGTGTCACTTCTTGATGCTCTAGCAGAAAGGACACTGCTGAGCACATTTCACATCCAGGAGCCCAAGATGCCTGGATGCAGACATCATTTAGTCATCTCATATATGTTTTCCCCCCACTTCTTTCTCCAGGAGGAATGACAAATCTAGAAATGTGACTGCACTTTGTTTTATTATGATATTGATTTTTCCTGCCAAGGGAAAGTGCATTTATCCCCTAGGTCTGCGGGCTGGCAAGAAAGGGTTAAGAAAATGTTTATCACAAAGCTGGCTTCAGAGTTGAAAGTAATGTGATCAGTAATGAATTTTGTGTTACATTAGGTTGTATAAATGGACAGACAAGCGCAGACAACAAGTGGCCAGGAGTCGGGGCTAATCTAATGATGTAAAAATAGAGACAGCACCAATTATACTTGGGGCCAGCTCAGAGCTCCTGCAGGGACTGCAAATGAATAGGTACAAATCAAATTACTGACTAATAGACGCACTACAAGAGAGGGCAGTCAATGCTAAATACATTAGGGCCTTGTGACCTCTCTGCTCTGAACAGCAGAATCCTAAATTTGACTTAAAAAAAAATCAAAGAAACTCTTGTTCATTTAAAGAGAGAAATGGAACAATGTTATTTGTGAAATGATTTGAAGCACTCGGGTATTTTTTGTTTTGTTCCTCTATGGCCACTCTACGCCTGTAACCCCGTGAAATCTGGCAGAGGGATTGCGTTTAAAATGAGGAGAAATATTCTGTGTGCAAAAGGAAAGACCTGAGAACAATACAGTTATGTTACATACCAAAACATTTCAAAGCCATGTGCCTCTTTGTGGTGATGCTTTTTACCGCTACTTCACCGGCTGTGTCTGTATCAAAAATAAAATAGTTCTTTAAAAAAAAAAAAAAAAAAAAAGAAGAGCCTTGGTTTAATAATAAGAAAATCAAACTCCCCAAACCAAAATTGATTATAAATAAGCGCAGTTGCCCAAATTCTTATCAAATGTAGAGTATTGGCACTCTCTTTATGGACATCAGCAGATGCTTCCTACCAGGAAGGGACCACAGCTCCCACCAGGAACATCTGCAGCATCAACATCCATCCAACCCCCCTTAAAAATGCCCAACTTGGCAGAAACGGCCCCGAATCGTGGCAGGGGTCGGGGCTGATGCTCCATGCGTGGTTCCCAAGGGCTCAGGAGGCGGTGAGCCGCTCGGCAGGGCTGTGCTGCGCTCCTGGCCATGCTCACTGGCGGACAGCAGCCAAGACTGGGTGCCTGGGGCATCACTAGGGAGCTATCAAGGTGCTGGTGGCTCTGTGCTGGGTGGTCCCGCTGGTGGAAGCCCATGTTGGGTGTCCAACGGCCCTGGCGTGCATGAAGCCCCGGAGGAACAAGCAYGGAGCCTGAGGATGAAGGCTGTTTGCTGCCTGTTGCAGGCGAGAAATGCCTAACAAAAACAGGTTAAAATAAGACCAGGCAACGCAYGCTCTCCTCACTCAGCCCTGCAAAACACGGTGGCTCTTGAAGACCCTGCAATTTCATTTCTCTTAGAAGCATCTCATTGTAATAAGCCTTTTGTAGGAAGAGCTGCATTGAGCTCCCAGACTTATTTGAGGGTGTAATTTAATCTCTGACCCTGGGATGAATATTCCAAAAGCTCAAAGGCTGCTTTTAGCATCGCTGCTATTTGATATGCCAGGGTGCTTGCTGCTGGCTGCTGCTGAGGTGGCAATGAACCTGTGCAGAAATGGGGTTTTTTGGGGGAAAATCAATAGTTCTGTGCTGTGTTCCTACACCCTGGGTCCCCACCGGAATTAAGGAAAACAGAGTGGGTGGTGGAAATTATCTTAGTAGAATTAAAAGGAAGAGGAAGGAAAGAAAGAGAGAAGGAAGGAAAGGTTCTGATTTAAGCTCTAACTCTGTCTAGGGCTAATCCTATTCTGGAAACTAAATGYGCAGATATTTTTTGGTACTGGTGGCTGCTCATTTGAACATGGCTTCTGATGACAGGCATTTTCTCTTTTGGAAAAAAAACAGCATCAGAAGATTTTTCCTGTGCTGGGATCAGAGGGAATCGCTCCTTCCTCCTTTCAGGCAGATGAAAACCCTTCTGACCCGAACCAGGCATGCAATAAAGCTTGTGACTTCACTTCTTGTCAGGAACTTCAGATTTAGACCCAGGCCCCAAATTTCACATAAGGATTTCAAAAACTTCCYCTTGCAAAGCTCAAAGGTGTCAAGCCCAGAGTTTGGTGCAGGCCACCGTGAGCATCTGAGAGCCAGATGGAGCGTGTGGCTCTGGAGTGAGGTCGGCTCCCCAAGTGTCCTGCAATGCGGAGCAGCAGCCGGGGCTGGCCGCACCAGCCCCTCCAATGAGCTCCACCTGCTCACGTTCCATTAATCACATTAAAGAGTTGCAAAATACGAGCTTCATTCATCACACGATGAGTCCGTGAAACTGCACAGCGTTTCTAGCGAGGGCTGGGCACTGATCTGCTGCTTCTGCATCTCACCTYGCACTAACCCTCCAACGCTGGGAGTTAAAAGAGGTAGAGTTTGGCAGGGAGTTTGGAAGAAAGCAAGATATGACATTTTTTCCTTTCCTTTCTTCCCCCTTTTTTTTTCTTTTAACTGAAATTCCGCTCACATTACAATGGACTTAAACCTCTTCCCTTTAAATTCTATATTATATCTTCAAATCTTATGCGTTTTCTTGACTATGTCAGTGTTGGTATTTAAATCTTTCCCTCTGCAGACACTGCTTCTGGGTTGCAACACTTGGGGGATGTTCTGTAGTGCTTTAAGACAGGTTTTCAGTGGAAGTTTAAGGTATTCCCGATACAGGATTGGTAGAGAAAAATGCTATTTTAGTGCATAAACTGAAGTGTAAACTGAGCTAATGCAAGGCACTGAACTTCATGATAATTAAAAAAAAAAAAGGATATATGCCCACAAAGAAAAATCTTACTCATCTATGACGATGGAACAGTTCCAATACTTGTAAAACACTGCAGAAATGTGGATTTGGGTAATCTTTGTCAAAATAAATTAGATACAACATTCAGGCAGCCAAACAAATTGTAACAGAGAAGACAGAGCAGACAGGCACCAACTGCAACCACAAACTGAATAAAACAGCAAGGCAGGCTCTGATCTCTGAAGTCACATCGACTCCTACAGCACCCACCAAGCGAGCAGCAGAGCCAGGGCTGACAGCAGCAGCATCACATCTATTACTAAGGAAGTTTGCAGCATTGCCTATCCTGACAAAATTGCCTGAACATTTCTTTTTTTGCCTACATTTAACACACACTTAAGCTTTTGTGCCAGAGGACAGTACAAGGTTGGGCTGAACTCTCTGGATTCRGCGTATTTAACTCTTACTGCACAGAAACCCAGATGTGCCACTGAAATAGTCCTCCTGGGCTGCATCTCAGCACAAACCATCCACCACACTGGAAGGGGCTTGGTCTCGTATTATAGGTCAGTTTTCAATTTTATGACTAGAGATGACCAAAATGCATTTGAAAGCTTAAGAAATGCACTTATTGCACTTACTGAAGGACTGCATGAATCAGAGGATTTACTGATTGCAATAATTTGGAAGGAAAGAACTCTAACCTGGGCTGGCAATTTTTGTATGACAAACTTGAGTGAATATTGTCAGAGAGACTTGCTTCCTGGCCATACTATATATTATCAAAATTACTATATTATCAAAATACTATATATTCTTTTTTTTTTTTTTTTTTTTTTTGACAATGCAAAGAGAAGCCAGAGCACAAACTCATTTACATTGCAAATGTAAATATTGTGGCTGCTGGAAAACAAAGCTTTGCAAGAAAAAGAGGTCACTGACCACTAACATTTGTGAATAGACCTTTTTTTTTCAGTTGGAGTCTCACAGAAGCAGCACAAACATCTTTTTTGCATCTTTGCCAATTTACGCCTTCTTTGGAATTAAATGTGTATCCAGGCTGACAGCTTATGTACAGCAGACTCCACTTAAGATAGACATGGGTTGTCTGGGTAATTGGATAATAAGGAGAAGAGCTGGTTTCCCATTCAACTCAACTAGCTGTATCACTGGAGTTATCATTTAGGTCACAAGCAAAGGAGATTTTTGGGGGGTCATTTTCCAGACCTGGTTCTTCTCCCATCCACTGTCCGACAGCCCTTGGCAACTAGCCGGAGTCACAGACAGAGAAGACCCATTAGGCCGGGACTTACACTTCCCTGCAGACACAGGATTGCTCCTCATGGTTTTCATATCCTCCCGTGGGATGTTTGCTATGGAACATCTCATGGTGCCCTCTGTGCTGGACCGAAGTGGGGATTACTGAGCCAGTGCTGCATTGCTAACACTGCTCTCAGTACAAAYTGCAGGTCAAAAGAGAAAAACGGCYAATATCCACTGTCCCAAATGGGCTGTGTATCATGAGCATGAGTTTCCTCTGCACTACTGAGGCATATCAGCCCTGAATACTATATACTCCTACATGCCAGCTATGTCCTAACACTTAAGGCATTAAAAGAATCTATTTATCTCTTGCCATGAAGTGTGTGTCAGGACCAGTCGCACACTTGATAACGTCTCACTGTCCATCCTATTTCTCATTCTTCATTGCACACGTGGGAGATCTGAGCACCACACAGGCACATTTATTCACATTTAGCACTAAACCTTATTGTTCTTTTATGTTTCAGTTCAAGTGAGACTTTGCAGGCTTTACTAAATTTCTGTAAAATGTGGGAAGCACTGGCTGGAGAGAACTCAAGGAGCACAGACATGGGTTAAAGGCATGCATGGCTTCAACTTGTTAAGATGTTTGGGGAAGTTAAGACAATCCTACCTATTCAGAGCCAACAGAGACACCTCCTCTCTGAAGCAGAGCCCATGTACCTCCAAACCTATCTATTTTTATTTATCAGCCAGTACCAGCTGCTAGTGCTTTAATGCCACCCCCTGACAAGCGGCTGCCTTGGGTGAGACCATGTGTGTTGGAGCTTCCAGGAATCATCTAGAAGGARAGGAGCCTTCCAGGTATCATCTGAGCAGCACTGCAATTTTATGGCCATCTGGTAAGAAGAATAGTTCAAGAGTAGGTARGGGATGAAAGCAGAAAGGACATGGGAATTCACAGCCTTATCAAGAGGTTTTCCCTGCTGCACCAGGTTATTCTATGCCCAAATCCCGAGAATAAAATGTYAATGGTAGCAAGAGCCCTACGTAGGCAGAGAACACAGAGCATAAGAACGACAGGGACAGCAGGGTAGCAGGATTAGGTGAGTTGGGTTAATGTTCTTGTTGCTCACTATGGCACGATGATGCTCACATTTGCTACTTTGAAATGTGGTGCTTCTTTTACASTCCCTATGAACATTATGTACCTGGAGTAAAAGAGCAGGGGGAAATCTCTCTGGAAGAACTTTAGCTCAGTGATGGCATCTCTTTATAAACAGCTCTGTCTTTATAGAGAGAGACCTGGATTATTGTGAATTTAATTTTGTGCCAAAGCAGCTGACACTGATATCAACTGATATTAACTGATTTACTGGTGAAAATGGAAGGCAAATCTATAGCTCTATCTCCGACCTCAATCTTTTTCTATCTTCACAGCTCATTTTTCCATCTTCTGAGGGCTTTGAAAACAYGGCCTGATTAAACTCCACATCACCACTGAGAGGCATCTCAATCCTTATTGCGGTGATGGAGCACCGGAGTCAAGGCAGGTTAAGTGCCTTGTCCAAGGCAACACGACAGTGAGAATTAGCACCAGTTCTGTGACTATGACCCATACCTAGCATTCAGCCAACCTTCTTCTCAAGCACCCAAGCCCTTGGAGTCCATCTTCGTTCAGCACTAGCAAATCAGAAGTGGACAGGCTGAAGGAAGAGAAACTGGGGACAGGAAAGGTGCTTCTAGACTGCTCAACAGCCTGGTTACTGCCATTTGTACCTCCATATAGTAGAAGTTTGAACTCCGACTGCTTCATCTTGGGAGGTAGCAGCAGAATGATGCCCTGCTGCGGGTTAGATGCTCAATGGTGACCCATCTGCTAAGCGAGGGTGACAAGCCTTGATGGGAGAGCCCTCGAGTCTTCTCCAGCTGGAGCAGTGAAGAGCAGGGAGAGCTCCATGCAATACAAGCCCTCAGCAATATGCGAGGGCAGCAGCTGACAAGGAGGAGACAGCTTCCACTCTCTGAAGCCTTTCTATAATGTCAATAGGTTGGCATACCCATACATTATGCTAAAGCTTGCTCTTTTTTCTTCTTCTTTTTTTTTTCTCCTTCCTAGGCAGCTTGCCAGAACAGTGACAAGTGAGTTGGCCGCTGATGTTAGAAGCTACCGTTGCTATTCGCTGCTGGTCACAACACAAATGGTGCATGGATCAAAGATGGACTGAGCCCTTTTACTAGAGGGTATTTTTGAAACAAGTCAAAATTAATGGAGACAATAAAGCCTCAATAACTGCACTTCGCCATTTCTGAACATTTCCTACCACGGGGCCCCTCGGAGCAGCATAATCTCTGATGTGCCGTTCCATTTATTTAAACAGATGATATAATTTATCAATATAATGGACACTGATGAAGACGGATTAATTTGGATTACAGAACCAGCACTTCACAGTGTCTATTTAGGACACCAAATTAGGATGTGTGTGATGCTGACGTTGTTGGGAACAGCGTGGGCATGAGGAGAGATCTGCACAAGGCTGAGGGTGCTCTCGGGAGGAAAGTGCTTAACAGGGCAATGCAGGAAGGAGGCTTCAAAGGTCAGTGTTTTTCTACAACTTACTTTAGGCTTCTCAGACTACATCTATGTGATCTAGCAACGTTTTCCTCTCTCTCACACTAGAAAAACCCAGCAAAGTTAATCATCACAGAAGAAGCAGGCTGAGAAAAGGGGAAGCGAAACTTTAACTAGTTAACAAAACAAAACAAAAATCAAAAATCACCATTGGGTGAGATGTACGTGATCTCTGATCACACCTCTTCTTTGTACCTGTTCCTGATCCCACTATGTCCCTGCTGGGCGACTCGCACATCGCGTCGGCCAGGCGCTCTCGAAGGCCCTCCTCGGTGTGCTCCAGGGAAGACATGTGGCGCAGGCCGAAGTTCTCGGGCCAGCTCCCGCACACCTCCAGCAACGTCACGCTCCGGTCATAGGTACCTTTAACAGACAAACGGGAGACGTCTGGTAGACCTCAGGACCAAACTTCTTCCACACATAAAATTTATTGCAGCTGTTCATTTGAAAGAAAGAAGCCCTTCTGAGTTCCTGAGAAGCTCGTCTCAGCTCCTTAATCCAAATGTTGAAGCTAAAGCAGAGCGGGAGCAAGCTGAGCCCTAAGAACTGGACTGCTCGATCAAGCAGCTGTAAGCAAAAGAATTAAATGAGAAATACAGATGCAATTCTGCTCTCACACCAGTGAGAAGTAGGAGTAGTGCTGCTCAACTCAACCTACTGATAGCGGTGTAAATGACGACAGACTCGGAGCTGGGCTGCTTTAGAACTGCAGAGAGGTTATTAAGTACATCCTAGACAACTAGGAACTGGTTTCGAAGTTGACTCGTGAGGAACAGACCGCTTGCTGGCTATATTGTGCTTTAAACACAACTGTAGAACAGAGTAAGTGAGTCTTTCAGACCAGATTATATGTGGATCTTCTGTGTTCTTGCAAAGTTTTAGGTCAAATTTGAGCTAAGAGTCTCTCATCAGTGGTGTTTTATGGAAGATGCTGGCTATTATGATAGCACCTACAAAAGAGACATAAAGTAACTCCTGACTTGTAGTTATGTCTTAATTTAAAATAGCATACAATGTTCAGCTGGACACAAAAACTAGATTCTGAATCCAAGATCTCTTCAAAGTGCAATTTAAAATTATTCTCCTTCATTATACAGCGAGTCTCCTGCACAGGCTTACTGAAATCACTCCCACTTGGAGCAGGATTACGGCTCAGCTTTGTTGCTCCCAGCACAGACCGTTTACTCTGCTATTAGGTAACTGAATATGCAGCGTTTATTGTGCCTGGTTTCTGCCAGCCTACCGAGGGGGGAAAAATGCAAATGCCAATGTTGCTCAAAGTTAAAAGTACATGAAACACGTCCTTGTTATCAGGCCTTTGGTTTTCCCCTTTGATCAGCCGTCAGAAACTATCTGCACTCGCGCGCGGTGACTGTACAGCTTCACAGCACACTCTCTGCCAATGACAGGTGGTAATAGAAAGGGTGAGAGACCAAGCCCCGCGGCAGGCGTCCCTTCCTCTGATAACGGCCAAAGTACCGGGTGATAACCGTTAGTAAACACTCGGGCGGCCAGTTAATCCATACATCAGCAAAGAGGGGCAGATAAATTTGAACTCTAATGGCACGGACAAAAGCGCCAGGGCTGGCATGCAGGGATTTATATGGGCTGCAGTGGTGACTTCTGGCTCCTGAATTTCATCAGCGCGCACGGCTTTGATTTATCGCTTCGCCTGGCCGCAGAGGAGATTCCTGGCACTAGAAAACCATCAACACTGAATGGACCTCTACAGAAGGGGCCCGTGGCTCTTGGGTGATACGTGCACTTGAACCCCGGGCACGTCCCAGGCTGAGCCGCGACGACTGACCAGACAGCTCGACTTTCTCATCGGCGCTTCGGATTTAGAGGGTTACTGCAGTCCACTAGTGGGTTTGAAAGAAAGGGGTTTGGAGGCCTCTGTGAGAAAATGCCGTGAGGCTAAGGAGTTTCCAATATATTTAAGTTTCTGCAGCACCTCCATGTTGTCAGCTTTCCTAATTGCAGGCAGAAAAGCAAGATGTGGTCCTTTTGACAGCTTCTTTATGGACTTCTTGCTGTGTTTTCAGGAGAGCAGGAGACCCTCACTCAGCTTCAACTCGGTCAAGACCCCACTGATTCTGGGGCTGTTTAAGTACCTGGATAGCTACCGGGGAGGCTCAAACGTGGCCGCAGGAAGCTGGAGAGGCAGCAGGCAGGGAGCTCCCGCGGGTGCTCGCGAACCTGCTCTTCCCTCGTGTCTGCTCTTATTTTGAAAGTGAGAAATGGGAGCATTTCTGCTCCTATAAGCAGACATATGAAWAATAAGGCAAATGGTTTTTGAAGCTCTGCCAAGATGACTGCATATGTGTGCAACGAGAAACTTCGTGGAGTGCCGGCCTCTGGTTCCAGAGCTACTTGAGCGAGAGCAAAGGAGACAAGTGTAGCATTACCCCGGCAATCAGGGCCGGGAGCTGCCACAAGTTCTTAGCAGCAACGTGTGAGGTGCGAGTGTTAATGTAAAGGCAGGTTCGAGGGATTAACTGCACAGAAAGCTTGTTAAAAAAAAAAATCCAAAGGGCTGGGGAAGCTCTGGTTTTATCTTTCCTCCTTTTTCACTCTTTTTCCATGTTATGTGGCAATAGGCTTCGTGTCCGGGCATCCAGCAGGGATCCGGCTGCAGTGGCTGGTGAGGCCAAACGGCTTTCTGCTCCACGCTGTGCTGGCTCCAGAAAACTGCTCCTGTTTCAATACTGGTTCCATGTGAAGATGAGTATAAAATAGGGCCTTGCTTAAACCAGAGAGATCACTTTGGACCGTGAAGCCCAAACCACTAGAGCTCTGCCTTGCTCCAACGTGAAAAAAGCTGTTGAGGAAAAGCCAGGGCAGTTGCATAGGACCTTCCCATTCTCCTCACCACTGCCAACAGGCAGCACATGATTTTCTCAAGGCAAAATTAAGTCCTGGATATTCTTACACCTTGAAAAATTCTTCTGCAAAGTGCGTGAACTCACAGATTGGCTGGTTCTTCTCCGGGAGCCTTTGGGTGCTTTGCCCTACATACATCACGACCAACGGGACACGAGCTAATGGCATTAAAGTTAACCTGATAGCAGCTAACCATATCTTTGCTATTTATTAAATTGTAATCTCCTTTTCTGGCTGCCTTGCTCTCCCTTTCTCGATCCCAGTCTCTCAGCTGATAAGGTATCACCTTTCTCATCGCTGGCCAGAGCGGAGTTTACAGATCCATCTCGGAGGCGCATCCTGCCCTGGGAAGCCGGGAGCCCCCGGCCCGGCCGCGCTGACCGCCAGGATGGCGAGCGGGAGCCTCCCGATGACTCCAGGGATTATGGAACGCTTGAGGGAAGGCAGACCCTGCGGCTGTGTTTACTGACAAACTGCTGAAATCCTCCTGACAGCCACAAATATAAGGCCGTGATGTGTGAAATGTGGCCTCTCTGCTGCACCCAGCGCAGGGCAGGACCCCCCTTAGGAGGAGCAATTCACCTAGGGACAGCTCAAGGAAGGAGCAAACCTGTGTTATTTTAGCCAGGCCATCGTTAGTGAAATCCTGCTGAAACCTCRTTAAAATCATTGGGGGGAAAAAAATCCCACTGACTAAAGTCCGTGTTAATATTTCATCCTATGGCTCGGTGCTTGCAATCAAGCAGGGAACTTACTCCTCTTCCTCGGAAAATTTGCTGAAGATGAAATGGGTGGATAGGAGCCACCAGCCTCCTCTGCACCATGCCCGAGGGCCACCCCAAATTCACAGCACTGCAAAAGTAAAAAGTAAAGTCCAAATCCAACCAAACGTAGTGAGTACGAATGTCAGTTCCTTGGTTTTCCTACTGGAACGTTAATTTTTCTCCTGATAGGGCCCTCACGCTCCTGTCCTTCCACTGACATTGGCCTGGCTGTGAGAGCTGCCCTCTGCTCAGCCGGCTGCAGGGCAGGGCACAATCCTGCCTTTCTGCTTAATGTTTCTCGCATTTTATTAATGGCACAGGCTTCTGTTATTACTCATACCAAATTACCTTGCTTGTAAGCACAGGATTTGTCTTTAACATTGCAATTGTTTCAAGGCTTTTAATATAAAAGGAAAGTAAATTAAATTCTACTGAAGGGGGAAAAAAAAAAGAACCTTGGAAACATCCCTTCATTTCACAGTTCACACTACCAACCGAGCTCAAGGAAAGCAGAGCAGCTTATTTTCTTCTCTGAAAAATCTAGTGTTAAAAAGTATTTTTACAAAATATTTTAATGCTTCTAGTATGTTATTTTTCTAAGTCAAAATAGCTAGGCTAAATCTTTCACCATAGCCCTTTAATTCAAAAGCCAGGGGAAATTTTTTTCATTAAACCCCTGGACGGCTTTGTTTAAAATATGAAATCAAGTAGCTCCATTTCCTGTCTTCTAAAGAACAGTAAATCAACCACGAGAACGTTCTCCAGAAATACAGTAACGGTTCTATTAAAGGGCTTGACAGTTTTGCGCCTCACCTTGCATATTGCAACACACACGCGGGCAAAAAAAAACCGGGCAAATAGGGGCAGAAAAGCAGAGTTTTGGATGTGGGTGGATGGTCCCTGTGTCCCCATCCCCAACTCCCTCCTCATCCTCGCGGTCTCTGCGGCTCCAGTCCCGGCCGTGGCAGCGCGGAAGAGCTGGCGATTTTCAGAGCGGGAAGCAGGGCGATATTTTTATAAATGCATAAATCTTCTCGAGGCAAAACAAATATAGGGGAAGGAATGTAAACATTATTGTAAAACGCATAATAAAACGTCTGTTTGTTAATTTTTCTCCTGATTATCCGGCCTATCTAGGCTGCGGATGTTGAACCGCTTGCCTTTTTTTTCAACCCCCTTACTCATTTAAAAATAGTTTCCTGCATGTTATATGAATAAGCAAAACCTAAGGTTTAAATCCAGGAGAACTTTGAAGTATGAAACCCACGGTCTATGGGAAACTATGTTTTCATTAATCAAAGTAGATGTTTCTAAAGCCATCAGATTTATCATGACTGGATTTCATATGTGAAACCCAATATACACACAGACATCCACTGCTTGTCCTTGCGGATTAGGCCTGACCTTTCCCTCTCCTTTCCGAAGGATCTGCCTTTCCTCAGCGCTCGGCGGCCCCGTGCGCCGCGGCCTCGGCCAAGGCAGCCTTGACAAAGGACGGCTCCAAGTCGTGGCTCCTTACGGCGCTGCGCGAGTCTCGGTGGAGGTGAAAAGAGAAATGATTAAGTGCATTGATTGCAGCCCGCCTTCGCATCGCACGCTCCCCGTCCGATGCCGTCGCGGGCTGGTAATTCACCTCGCTGCCAAGCGAGGGACCCGTGTGTCGCCCGCGGGAGGCAGCGCTGCCGACGTGGCCGGCCCGAGGTGAGGCAGAGGACA